AAAGAATCATTTTTAATCATTGGAATTAAAAAACAACAAAACAAGTTTACAAATCAAAAACATAAATACTTATCTACCATACCACAATCTTTTTTGAATCATTTCATTTGCTTTGGCTATCAATTTAGCTCTAAACACCTTATTTTATTAACTATTAGAACTCATAAATATAATACCTATTTACTATTATAATTTTCCATCAAATTATTTTACTTACATTAAACATTTTATTCAGCTTATAAGTATAAAGATCATTTATTAAACGCTGGAATTTAAAAAAGCAAGACAAGTTCACAAATCATGAATATAAAATACCTATTCATCATCATGCGATATCCTTCGAATAATTTTATTCGTATTGATCATATAAGCGCTAAATAGAATTGACCTGCGTGTTATTTCAAATACGTTCATGTGCATTATTTCGAGATTTTTGAAATTTAATACAGTTTTCAACCTTCAATAAATGCATGTTGTTGGGCAAAAATGCATTTATGGAATATTTATTTATAAAGAATAACCTACATATAATATTAAATAATTACATTAGACTGATTAAATTACGTGCACTTATTATTTTAAAGAAAGCAACATGTGAAGTGCACTTATAGAGTGTGCACATGTGGTGTATAGTATTATCGCACCTTGAAAGACAGTTCTTTAACCTATAAAGATTATATATTCAATTATAAACTGTAAAATAATGAATAATAAAAAGTAACTGAATTTTTATTTACTAGTACATCTTGACTAGATGTTACGATCAGGACTTTTTCAAAAATAATAATGCCATTATGCACTACAAGTTTTCCATCAAGGTCATTTTGTGACACAACTATTATATAGATGAAACATATAATCTATATTAATTAACATTTTACTTTAATACAATGTGCATATTGAAATATTTACATACCTTTACTAATATTAGCTTCATTTGCGTCTTTGTTAACAATAGTGCGTTTATATCTGCTATTATTAACATCATCCAGCATATCGAAAAGTTCTACTATACGAGCCTGTTCAAAATAATATATATATATAAACAATTCTACCAAGTATATTTAATAAGTGAATGCAACACCAAAAATAAGAAAAGTTAAACGTACAGTATACCCTGCAAACCTAGTCAAACCATGCCCAGCTAGAATTAACCTTCCAATAGCTTGAAATAGGTTACTAGATAACCAGCTGCATAAAACAAATATTGCTTCAGTAATGTAAAGAATAATCAATATTCAAAAAAGATAAGCTGTTTAGGACCCACAATTTCTCGAATAATCTTTCATAATCTTTGTTGGATTAGCATCAAGTTTATCTATAAATTTGGTAGCTATATGAGAATATGATTATTAAAATGAAATATAACTCAAATGTGAGGTTTTATATTGACGTCTTACCATACTGCAGGTCAAATACAGGCCCTGCTAATAAGCTAAAGCGAAATAATAAATTATGTGCTGCATTAGAATGCGCAATTCGGGATGCCCGTGAGCGCTAATTTGGGACCATATAGGTTATTTTTAAGGGCCTGATTTTTAAATAATGCCCACGAGTATTATTTCGTGCTTATACAGTACGTAGTATATAGTAGGTATCGGGTGAAACAAGTAAATATCAAGATATAAAATATTTAAATTTTTTTTATTTTTTGATCTTTTTTTTTATTTTATAATAACCAGTTACACAACATCTATAAATTTTTATCATACGTACAGTACTTGATTTCTGGAGCCGTTTACTTCGGTACTTCTTTCATCGTTGGAGTCGTGCTTGTTTTTCATCGACAGTGTTGCTCATTTTAGTGCCTTTTCTTTATTTATAGCACTTGTCACATAGGTTTTCAGTTCGAATAGGCAGCAAGATGTTTTATTATTGTCTATATATGATATGATCATGCTTAGAAATATATAATACTTACCTTTGTTTAATTTCTGAGTTTGCCATAAAAGTCGACTTTTTTTTTAACTTATTTGAGAACAATTACGATCTACGGATTTCTTTCCTTTCTTGTTTCTTTGTATGTACTAACTTTTTTTTCAAGTTTTTAGATACTTTCTTTTGTAGATTCTCATTGCTGGAGTCGTTTATCTCAGTGCTTTCGTATCTTGGTACTTTTATTACAGAAGTTGTCCATTTCGGTGCTTGTGTGCTAAAGTTTTGTTTTAGGGGTTTCAGAGGATTTGTTTCATGGGTTTTTCGTCAATGAAGTTGCCTATTTCGGTGCTTCGCCATTGGAGTCATCCTTTCTGGTATTTTTTTCTTGGTATACTTCTTTTCATGGTATTCCTTTCATCGTTGGTATTATTTAATTTGGTGTAATCTCTTTTATAGCGCTTCTTTTGTTCAGTCTGCTAGGTAGAATTCTTTTTGTTGTTAGTATTGCTGTTTCTTTTTTGTTATATATTAGGCTTTGAATTTCAATTTTCTTTTGTTTGTGGCTTTTTTTTGCTTATCAGAACTTTTCTTTGTACGGTATCTCTATGGTATTTGTATGGTATCTCTATAGTGATTGCATGGTGTCTCTATGATGTTTGTGTGATGTCTCTATAGTGTCTTTATGGTATATGTGTGTTATCTTTACGGCATTTGTGTGGTGTGCAGTGGTGTTTTTATTGTTTGTGTAGTGGTGTTTTTATGGTATTTATGTAGTGTTTGTGTGATGTCTCTAAGATGTTTTTGTAATGTCTCTTGTAATATGTTTTGTAGTCTTTTTTTTCTTTAATAAAAATATATTTTATTATTTTTGCAAAATTTATAATCAATATATAATAAATTATTAATAAGATTTTTAGGATTTAATTCAAAATTTATTTAATATATATATATATATATATATATATATATATTTTAATATTGAGGTGACCACTTAGGCCCCTGGCACTTTATTAGTTCAAACGGGTGGGCTGTCCGAAGACAGCTTAC